TGAAATCAGTGCCTGAGGTGCCGAGAGTGAGCGCACTTCGATATGAGGGTGATCCTGATGATCCCATCGAAGAGGATGACTCAGAGGCAGACCCTGGTGTGCCATTCCCGCATGGGGACCCTCACGGCAATGCCTATCTACGACACCTTGGGCAGGTGCCTCCCAACTACAAAGCTCCTCCAGTGCAATGGATGCAACAACATGCGCCTAAGGCGGCATTGCCTAAGGCAAGACCGAAGAGGAGAGCAGAAGAGGCACAACCAAAACAACGTGCAGAAGCCTTCCAAAGAGCAGTTGCTGCTGAAAGGGGGAGCATTCACCAAGCAGTTCAACGTGAACAACAACAAGGTGCTTCCTCTAGCAGTTCAACAGGCCAACAAGGATATCCACAACGGCAACCTCCAGGAGATCCGCCACGAGAACCAACTGACAATGAAGTTGATGAGGCTCTTCGAAGGGTTGCAGAAAACTGGCTGTTCACACAACCTCCACGGGTTCAAGATGGATGGCACTACATGGATGTTGTGGAGCTCTTTGGCAAGAGGTATCGGGTGGTGATGCGAAACCACCGGACATCAAGGAGACGAAGCTTCCATCCAGTTCACCGAGGAGCTCCAGGCAATCTCTTGGGAAGGAGGCTCACGGTGATCCATGGAAATGGAAGACGCAGTGAAGTGGCGGACAACTGGTCTGAATCATGGGAAACGACTGGTTGGACGGGCTACACGTTGTTTCTTCAGCGACTCCCAGAAGAACCTCAACAACCTGCCACTTCAAGCCAGAGCAGTACCCAACCAGTTGCAACAACGCAGCTGGATGAGGAGGCTGAGGGCGATGGCAGCTTCGAGTTGGTCGAGGATGATGATCCTGGTGGTCACGGTCAAGGACCACAACTTCGGGCAATGTCTCTTTTTTCATCCGCTGATGGTGCCATGGGATCGTCGGTGACTTCGGCATCGACACGATTGGTCGCGGATGAGGGGGAGATGGGCTTGGATTTGATGGACATCCCGAAGGGCTTGATCCAAAGGAGACGGACCAAAAGGGTCAAACAAGACCGACATGACCGACTCGAGGACAGCAGTTGGAGTGGAAAAGGTAAGGGTTCCGGGTTAGCATCAGGGTTTCAAAAAATATCCCCAAACAGAAAGGGTTACTCAAAAGGGAGCACCATGTCCTCAGAAAACCAAAACATGAGTCCTACCACAAGGGGAACTTCGTTGGGACATGTTGCCGGTGATTTGCAAAGTTTTGATGGTGAACGGGTTGCAGTTTTGACTTTGTTGCGGCCTGGTTCAAACATAGACGGACAACCTCCACCGGCTCTGCGCTTCTTTGCAGTGATGAGCGATGGTGGAGAAGACCGAGGTGACCGTGGTTGGCAAGAAGATCGTGAAGATCGAAGTGGCCACGGTGAACCTGGAGAAGATCAAGGTGATCATGGCCGACAAGAAGATCGTGATGATCGATTAGACCGCGATGTCCCTGGCAAATTGTTTGAAAGATGCCCGGGGAAACCGAAGCCAAAAAGAATAAACCTCAAACCGGCTTCGCGGGCAACCTTGAGACCGGCCTCACGGACGCCTGAAGAAAAGGAGGAGGGCGTCAGAAGGGTCATCCTGCTGGATGATGAACTACACCCAGGAGAAGCCGAACGCCCAGAAGAAGCCGCGCATCCAGAAGAGGTTGCAGATGCTGAACATCAAGAAGAAGTTGAAAGAGATGAGCCCCGGGAACAAGAGGGGCCAAAAATGAAGAAGTACCGAAAGGTACGGGTGAAAAAGAAAGTGACGCAGTTGGAGAAAGACATCCAGGAGATGCAAAGGGCCAGAAGGGTCCGAAATGAAAGGATGGCTCGGCTTCGACTTCTCCAACAACAACGACGCAGACGGCAAGAAGCTGCAGAACCTTCGGGACAACAAGAACTACCAGCGTCAGAAGAACCTCAGGAAGCCAAAAAACCTGAGGAAGCAAACGCTGAGGAGCCCAAAGAACCTCAGCCACGGACGCCGTCACCATCTTCGGTGGATTGGAAAGCTGCCGAGGAGGAGACGAAAAGGCAGTTTGCGGAGGCGAAAGCAGCGGGCCGCAGAATCCTCTCTTACGAGGAATGGGACAAGGAGCGCAAGGAGAAGAATGAGAACTTGCGCCAAGCAGCACGGCGGAGGTCATGGCTGGAGCGAGAAATTGCCCGCAGAGCTCTACAACAAGAAAGAGGTGAAACCAGAGAAGCAGTTCTGAGGAGCACAACGACATCGGCATCTGGACCGCTTACAGATGAGGAGTGGGTGCAGATGCAACAGATGATGAAAAAGTTGCCACCAGCACCTCCATGGCAGTGTGAGATGCCCAAAAAGGATGAAGAGCAGCAAGATAAAAGGGCCAAAACGGTCCAAAAGGACCCAAAGCACGGGATGCCGCCACCACAGCCGGATTTGCCGGCACCACCTCCGCAGGGATATGCTGGAGTTTGGAGAGGTGGATGTTGTCCTGGCTTTCGTTGGCAAGGGGTGCAACAAGGTCACCATGGACCACAAGCACCTCACGGACAACAAGGGTTTGCACCTGGATGTGGAGGGCAACAACACGAAGGACCTCCAAGAGGACCTCAAGGCTTTCATCCAGGACTACAAGGGCAAGCACCAGCGCAACAAAGCATGTCGCTGGATCTTGGGCCAGTGAGATATAGGTCTCCTGAAGAACTGGCAGGAGCGACGGCATGGTTGGAACGACAGCGTGGCGGCCCTGAAGTGGATCTTCGCACACCGGGCGATGTGGTTCGGCATGACTTGGCGATGGCAATGGCGAAGTCACGGGCAAAAGCTGGCATGCCGACACCTCCACCAACAAGGATGGTAAGTCCGCCTCGACGAGAAGTTCCTGCACCGCCGCCTGAACAACAACAAGAACAAGGTGGAGGAGAAGATGCTGGAGAATCTCTTCTACAGAGAATCCTCAGGTTGGCCAGCGCTGGACCAATATGTGGGGGAACTCCGCCATCAACACCAAGGGTGCCTTCACCGTCGAGAACCCTGTCGAGCACATCAGAGGCTGAGATCCTGGAGGATGTGCAGTACGATGAAACCAACAGGGATCAAAACGAGCAGATGGCTTTACGCCCTAAAGCTCGTCCTCAACTTCGGCGGGACCCTCAACATGGGGCGATGGCTGCGAGTGGTGCCGGTGGTGGAGATGGCCCTGGGGACAGAGATGACCCACGGCGCAACGACCGGGCAAGCCCTGAGCCTGAAGCCGAGGACAATGAGGAGGACTCTGTGGAGGAAACGGCCACCCAGGAGTTCATGTATCGGATGAAAAGAAGATCCGATGAGCTGACGGGACGGAAAAACAAGTTCCAGGTCGGCAAGAGCTCTGCATGGGAGCCCCAGAAGCTCCGAAAGGGGCGTGGCCACACGGTCAGATGGTGGCCGGAGCGTCGTGGCAAGGGCACCAGGGGTGAGGATTCCACAATAACCCACTCCGTGACGAGCCCTACGACGGGATGGCAGCGCATCTATGCGAAGGGAAAGCAGCCAAGGGCCCTTCGCGTCTCCAACCAAGGGGGCAAAGGCAGTGGGGGCCGCATCGTCCTGCAAGGCAAGGGCGCAAACCCAGCGGCCGAACTGCAACTGGCGCAGTCGCTGCGCCAGGCCACCGCCGCAGTACGGCGAGCGGAAAGCGCTGTGGCCACCCATGGGAATGGCAGCGAGGGGGCAGAAGCAGCCTATGAGGAGGCAGCCGTGGCGGTGAACCAGTACCTGGATGCAGAGGCCATCCTACACCCGCCAACTGGCGCTGCAAGCTCCAGCGCAGCACCTTCGAGCTCAAGCACAGCCCCGGTGGGAAGAGGAGCTGCCAATCTGGGGTTGGAGGTCTACCGCGACTTCCTGCGGACCAAGGGCAAAGGCAAAACAAGCCGAGCTCATGCAGATGCAGCTGCAGATGAAGAAGGATCTGACCCCGAAGCAGATCCTGAAGAGGAAAACTATGAAGAAGAAAACTATGAAGAGGAGGTTGAAGAAGAAGAAGAACATGGTGATGATGGGGACTACGTCGAGGTCGAGCTCGAGGTGATCCCTGAGGGAGACCATGAAGGTCATGATGCAGCAGAAGGTCATGATGCAGCAGAAGGTCCAGCAACAGAGGACCACGAAGTTGCAGGGCATGATGATGGTGGACCTGCAGCACATGGCCGGGAAAGCAATGAAGAGGAAGAACGCCATGAGGACGATCCGGACTACAGCGCGGAAGAGGAGTTCGTCCATGAAGAGCACAGCTGAGAGAAGCTTTGGGCCTGACTGGCCGTAGAAATTTTCCAAGGGCCTAGTGTTTAAGGCCACTAGGCGTGCAAGGGGTCTTGTCTTTACGACCCAAATCTGATGGTAGCCGTAGGGAAGTGAGTGCACTAAAGGTGCTACTCCACTAGGCGTTTTGCGCCATCAGACAAGAGCAAAGCCCCTAGGCAGTTGAAAATTGCACCCTCCAGTACAGGTTTGGCAGCGTGCCAAAGGGGGAGTGCATAAGGGATTTTCAAAGCTGACCTTTTGGCTATGAACAAGTGTAGTATCTGTACACTACATGACATGCAGACATACCTGCGGTAGGTCGACAACAACTTTCCTGCCGTAGGCTTCTTTTAGCCCAAGAAAAACAGGTGCTCACGCTGCTCCGCAAGCACATTCAAAACCAGGTGGATCACCTCGTTCCGGACCTTGGATTTGCATGTTCGGAAGCCTACAAACGGATTAATATAACAATAAATATTCCACACCACAATATATTCAAATATTTTTTCCCTATAGATTTCCCAAGTATAGAGTTCTCAGTTTCCCATTAGGAAAATACCCATGAATACAATATATACATACATATATATACTACAATATCAGAATTATATTTAATCAATATTAAGAAATAACCTTTAAAGTCCTTAAACAAAGCCAAGTGACAGCCTCAACGTTGGGCTGATCTGTGGCCCAGGCATCCAGCTGAGGACATTGTCAAAGCTTGGCATCGAATTCGTTGGTCCAGTTCACCCGCAAGATCCGAAGTGTGGAGATTTGACACAAAGGAGCCACGACTTTCAAAACGAAGCACCTTCGGTCGGTGGACATTGGTGGTCTCAGCCCCTCAGGAAACATATTTTTTTAATTATTAATATTTTAAAATTTATATTATATCATTCAGCCTCACAGTCATTTTGACCCAACATCTTCAATTTCCAATTCAATAACTCAACTATGGGATTTTGGGGTGCGCTTTGTTCAGACTTCAGACCAATCGAATTCTAAAAAAATCTAAAAAATAGAACTCAAAACTAGTGAGCACAATCAGGCTGACCTGCGATTGTCCGCCGAAAACCACACTTGCCGTTCAGATTGGAAGGGCGATCTTCGACCGAGCAAACAAGAAATTCCAGAAGCTGCTCTCATGGGAGGCAAACGTCGAAACTCTTCAGGGTGTTGAACCAAATGAACCTCGTTGGAAGCCAGGATCCAGATCTGTAGGGAAACATGGGGAGAATGATCGTGCATTTCCGTATGCTCCATGTCATGCACGGGATATTTACCCACATGAGGGCCATGTTTGGGACAAATGCTGGTAGATATTCTGTACATTTCTATACGTATACATGGCGCGTTTTGGATTCGGAAACTTCATCCCAATTTGTGGGATATAAAAAGGAAGAAATCTGATAGTTCAAACAGCCAGTGGCCATAGTTTGCAAAAGGCTCCTCCCATCTGTGAAAGTCTTTTTGACGGTTGCCTGCGTGGGTACCAGCTCATCAATGTTCACCTCCAAGTCTTCCAGAAGTTCTTGCTCCGATTCAAACATCAAATGCTCAGAATGATTCGATCTGGGCTCAAGCGCGAGCAAAGGTTCAGGTTCTCTAGCGCTCGGTGTACTCCAACAATTTTCAGCCACGTGGCACACCTCCAAGTCGTCCAGGAACCTTTGCATGGCGGTTTCCCGCTGGACCAGTTGTGACACCACGGCAGTTTCACCAAAATCCTCGCAACACATGATCACCTCGGTTCATGTTTCAAGATGTTTCAAGCCCACTTGGAGGTGATCATTTATCGTCATTTATCATCCCACACCAGCATTGTAAAAAACGAATCCTTGAAGTCCAAGAATGGATGCTTGTCAACATGTCACAACCCAAAAATATGTAGGCCCCTCGGCGCCTCCATACTTTTTACCCTGTCACCTTCAATAAAGGGCGGGGATTTCATCGTCCAAGGATGGTCCCAGTTTAGTGATCCTAATGTAACTCCAGGTGCGATATTTCCCTAGTGGATTTCCCATATCAAGTGGACTTCCCATTGGGAAAGGACGCCCAAAATCATCTTCAGCAAATCCAAGTTAATGATTCAATGATAATAAATCATTAATGTATATATCTCTCTCCATCGCCATCTCCAAGAGTCTATATATTATATCATATATTAAATAACAATCACTATTAACATTTATTAACTATTAGCATATGATTTTCCAAGTTATAAACCTCCATTTAGATCCATTTAGTGCGTTCATCTCCCATTCAAATCACCCGTTGGACACTTCAGGTGGGATCCTCCAGTTTCAGCCAGTCACATAGTGACTCGTCTTGTACCTTGCCCTTCCTCTGGCTTGGACGAATTGGATCACCGTATGAGCGGGTTCCATCCGCACCACCAAGTTGCAGCATGGAATGTCGATGCCCTCCTCCGCGACGGAGGTGGCCACCATGACATTCGTCTTCCCTGCTTGGAAGATCACCCCACGGATCAATGGTTAATAACCATAGTTAGTTCACCCAGTTATAGATGGGATAACCCACAATTCGGGGACTTGGGATAATCACTTACTAAGCCAGATGATCCTTCAAGCGAAAACACTTCTGCTCCAATCAGAACATGTCGTGTCAATTGATGTCAATCAGGGACTAACATAACCATCACAATCATGTTTCTAGGGAATCTAGCAGCTGAGCCCCGCATACAATATATAACAACCCCACCCAGTTGCCTTCTCTGAAGTTGCGAAGGATCTCGTTTTGCTGGGCCATTGTCATCGATTCAGCATTCGTTTTACAATGTCCCAACAAGCACACCGGCGAGATCCAAGCAAAAGTGCGCTCACTCACAGCCACAAACTTCAACATTTGAGTCATCGTTGTAGCTGCAGATCGAGTTTCTACGAAAACGATGCAACGGAACTGATGCAATGGAGCCCCATGGACATGTACACCCAAGAGTTCCAACAAACTCTCGAAGAATGGGGACACTTCAGCACCTGAAGACCCCAGCTTCTCCCAGGCTTGGCTCAAGCAAGCATCCACTGCGGGCATGGGCAAACCTCACGGCAGCGGACGCCTAAAGTTGACAACTTTCAGTGGGATTTTTTGTATGTGGCAAACTCATTTATATAATACTATAGTCACTATTATATATAATCACTCATCTGTCAAATAAGTCAAACACCTAAAACAAAATAATAAGGAGGGAAGCAACACGAGGAAAACAACAGGAAAACTGGAACATTTAAATGTCTGGCAATCCAATCCAACCAGAAACCCATGATATTGGCCGTTTCCCCCCAACAAAGGCATCGCACACGTGCGGATAGGTCTTTGATCTGCTTCAAGCGCTGGGTCACTGCAAGGAAGGCATCAGCTTCAGGGGACCTGGTATGCGAAACCGCTTTGAATGTCAAAAACATAGGAGTTTTTTTGAATAGGCCTTCCATTGTGGCTGAATATCATTTGATGTTTTTTCCCTTATAATCTGTTATGTACAATGGCCCAAAAGTTCTTAGAGATCAAAGGGAAGTTCTTAAAGTGTGGGACCCCAGAATCATCCAACTTTGCTCACCTTTAATAGGGAAACCAATGTTTTGGGAGCACCTCCGGCACCCCGACTTCGAGAAACACCCAAATACCATTCCCTAAAAATCATATATTGTAAGGTTATTCCCGAATGCGTAGCAAGGGTTCCCGTTTCACTCTGGGGGTCTGGGGGTTGAGGGTGTGTTCGCTCGACGTTGCGTTCACGGTCGCAACCGTTCGCAACCGTTCGCAACCGTTCAACCGTCCGCAACCGTCCGCAACCGTCCGCAACCGTCCGCAACCGTCCGCGCGATCCCCGTATGGCCGTGCCTATGGGAAGTTCTGCAGAGGTGGTCCTTTTTGGAGGTTTCAGACGTGTCGTTGCTTCGTTTCGCGTGGCAGGCGTGGCACTTCGTGACATTCAGACGTGTTCTGGAACGTGTCGAAAGTCGTTTTGCGTGGCAGGCGCAATACTTTTGCGACGTTTTCAGAAGATGTGTTGCAGTTTTCGTGGCAGGCGCAGCACTTTGGACGTGTCCATCGTCATTTTTCGTGGCAGGCGCAGCACTTTAGACGTGTCATGTTGCGTGTTTTTTGCAAATCGCATTGGCAGGGCTGCGTCAAGTGGCGACAAGGTGCAAATTCCGTGGCAGGCGTGGCATTTTGTGCGATGCGTTGAAAATTGACGGAAGCCTCGCACGAAACATCGATTTTGAGGTTGCCAATTTTCACGCTCTAAGGAAAACTCGTAGGAAAACGTCGATTTTGAAGCTACAAAGTGTGAAAATTGGAGGAAGTCTCGCACGAAATGCTCGTTTTGGTGCTCCCACGTGTCGCGTCTCGCATCTCTGGTTTTCCCGTGGCCTCGCCGTGTCTATGGGGGAAGCTGCAAAACATGTCCTTTCGGCATGTTTCAAACTGTGAAAATTGGAGGAAGTCTCGCACGAAATGCTGGTTTTGATGTTCCCACGTGTCTTGTCTCGAGTCTCTGGTTTTCTGTGGCGTCGCCGTGTCTATGGGGGAAGCTGCAAAACCTCTCCTTTTCGAATGTTTCCAAGCAGGTTGTCATGTCGTTTTGCGTGGCAGGCGTGGCACTTTGTGACATTCCAACCTGTTTGATAACGTGTCGAAAATGTCAAAATTGGAGGAAGTCTCGCACGAAATGCTCGTTTTTCCTGCACCCAGGTGTCTCGTCTCGAGTCTCTGGTTTTCCTGTGGCTTCGCCGTGTCTATGGGGGAAGCTGCAAAACTTCTCCTTTTCGAAGGTTTCCAAGCAGGTTGTCACGTCGTTTTGCGTGGCAGGCGTGGCACTTTGTGACATTCCAACCTGTTTGCTAACGTGTCGAAAATGTCAAAATTGGAGGAAGTCTCGCACGAAATGCTCGTTTTTCCTGCACCCACGTGTCTCGTCTCGAGTCTCTGGTTTTCCTGTGGCTTCGCCGTGTCTATGGGGGAAGCTCCGCACTCCACACTCTACACTTTACACTCCACAATCTACACTTTAGACTCCACACTTTACACTTTACACTCCACACTTTGCACTTTACACTCCTCACTCCTCACTCGAGACTTTACACTCCACACTCCACACTTTACACTCCACACTCCCCACTCTACACTTTACACTCTACACTTTACACACTACACTCCACACTCCACACTTGACATTTTACACTCCAGACTTTACACTTTACACTCTTCACTCCACACTTTACACTTTACACTCCACACTCCTCACTTTACACTCCACACTCCTCACTTTACACTCCACACTCCACACTTGACATTTTACACTCCAGACTTTACACTTTACACTCTTCACTCCGCAACACTTTACACTCCACACTCCTCACTTTACACTCCACACTCCTCACTTTACACTCCACACTCCACACTTCTCACTTTACACTCCGCACTCCTTCCACTCCACACTCCACACTCCACACTCCACACTTTACACTCCACATTCCACACTCCACACTTTACACTCCACATTCCACACTCCACAATTTACACTTTAGACTCCTGACTCCACACTCCACACTCCACACTACACTATACACTCCACACTCCACACTTTACACTCCACACTCCACACTCTACACTTTACACTCTACACTTTACACCCTACATTCCACACTTTACACTTTACACACTCCAGACTCCTCACTCCACACTTTCCACTCCACACTCCACACTCCTCACTTTACACTCCACACTCCACACTCTACACTTTACACTCCGCACTCCACACTTTACACTCCACACTTTACACTTTACACCCCGCACTCCTGACTTTACACTCCACACTCCACACTCTACACTTTCCACCCCACACTCTACACTTTACACTCCACACTCCTCACTTTACACTCCACACTCCACACTCTACACTTTACACTCCGCACTCCACACTCCACACTTTACACTCCGCACTCCTCACTCCTCACTCCACACTCCACACTACACTTTCCACCCCACACTCCACACTCTACAATTTACACTCCACACTTTACACTCCACACTCCACACTCTACACTTTACACTCCACACTCCACACTTTACACTCCGCACTCCTCACTTTACACTCCACACTCCACTCTCTACACTTTCCACCCCACACTCCACACTCTACACTTTACACTCCACACTTTACACTCCACACTCTACACTTTACACTCCACACTCTACACTTTACACCCTACACTTTACACTCTACGCTCCACACCCCACACTCTACAATTTACACTCCTCACTCCACACTCCACACTTTACACTCCGCACTCCTCACTTTACACTCCACTCTCCACACTCTACACTTTCCACCCCACACTCCCCGCACTCTACACTTTACACTCCACACTCCACACTTTGCACTCCACACTCTACACTTTACACTCCACACGCTACACTCCACACTCCACACTGCAGACTGGTAACAGGGGAAATATGTACAAGACTGTTCAAATAAACTATTGCAGAAAAGTGTTCTGCGTGATTGCATATCCATGTGTTTTGACATCTGCGCCATTAACATACGTGTGAGCATTCGGGTTCGTGGGCTGCATCTTGTTTTTTGAGCCACCACAGACAAGGTTGGTTGGTTGAACTCCTTTACCTTCCACTAAATGCTGCTGAGATAATTGGTGCCATATGAGCCATTGGAGCATCAACGAAAATATACACCCAATCACCCTAGACTTCCAAACACATCCTGAGAAGGTAATTGCACCCCCAAAACCTTGCCAAAAAAACATTCTCAGGACGTTTTTGCAAATCTAGGGCTGCACTTGTCGATGGCACAAGCCGGACAGTTGCAACTGCGACAGCTTCCGCTGAAGTTGTCGAAGTTGACCTTCCGCTTCACGAAGGAAGTCACAAAACTCCCTTCTGCAAGGGACCTCTCGGGTCAGCAGTTGGGCTTTTGGAACAGCTTCGGACAGCTCCTGTTGCAAGTGCACGTCTTTGATTTGAATCAACTTCGCCTCCGGGCCAAAGTTGCTCCAGGAGATCCCTTTTTAAAGGGCCAGTAACCCGTTCACAATCAATGAGCTTAGAGGCATTTGATGGGGCTAGCCAATGCACTGGAAAATGACTCACATATTTTGGTCATTTCACCCCCTTCAATTCAATGCATGCTGCTCATCTGATTTTGTTTTCTCGGGGGCATTTATGATCCATCATGCATACTTGCGGGGTACTGTAGGGTTTGAAACTTGTGTTCACTTGGCTTTGTCTGAGAATAGGATGCCTCTGTATCCAGAACCATATGACAATTTCCCCTAATGAAACTACCGCATGTTCTGACACACTCAAAAAATCAGGGTGTTGAAGTGTTGATGTTATTGGTTGTATATTATCCCATGGTTACCCCATTCTAGTTCCACTATATCGCCATAATCCTTTTAGTCAGAAGCAAAAATCCACTCATTGGTGGCAACCCATCTTACAAACATCAGTCGTTGAAATTGGGGATCATCATCCTGTTTCTATAGCGTACCCTCACTACTAATCACTATAATAATCATTCTCCCACGCTCATTTCCCCATCAAGAGTTGACACCACCAACCCAAGTCCAGTTGGCCTGAAGTTGCTCCAGCAACCGCATGGTCTGCTCCTGGGTCTCCGCCGGGCTGGCCGTCAATCCCAGCAGCTTCGGCCGAGCGAAGCGGGGTGCGGACGCGTAGGCCGCGGCGATCTGGGCGTAGGGATGGCGACCGGTGTCCTGCCGGGGATGGGCTGGGGGAGGGCAACCCTTGGAAGATCCCAACAAAAATGGGGAAGTGGTTGGCTTTTTGCGGCGTTATACCATGTTATACTCATTTATACTCTATTTGTATAGTTAGAAATGGGATATTATAGGAATTGGGGACTTCTTAACCATGGTGTATTACCCACTTTCTGTGGCTCCAAGTAGCCTTGAGGGTTCCCAAGTGCGAACACACCTTTTGTTCAGACATGTAGGTTGGTTTGCCGTATGTTTGTTCTCCTTGCGCGCAGGGTAGCAAACTGGCGCATACCCTATGGTTCATTAATGCATTATAATTTTGATGCATTGAAACATCCAACTTATGAACCATACTGTACCGACGATACCCGATGCTGCAAAAATGAATCAGGTTCGGGTAGCTTATGAATATATATATATATATATATATATTATATGTATGTATGTATGATCATGGTCCGTTTATATGCCTACTTAATTATGTCAACAGTCAATCCAGCCAACTAACATCAACTAAATGAGGGATTTCCATGATTGTACCCATATTCAGTGATGGTCAAAAACCGCCATATGTCCAACTTGTAAATGGCAATTGATTGAGTCATTGCCTCGCCTCCAGTAAACTAACGTGTGTAGATATGAAGACTCCATCATGTCGATTGATTTTGGAAACCCATGGGTTTCCCGTGTGACGTTTAATATCGTTTAGTTATTTGGAGGAGCAAATCCCGGGAAAAAAGAACTATGTAGCTCCAGCCAATGGCCGCTTCCTTCTTCGACTGCGCATGGTGCACTTCATCCATCACCAGCAGTGATACCGAGCTCAGCCCCGCCACGGAACAGACTTGTTCCGAGGCAGCGGCCGGTGTGGCGAAGAGAACGTGGCAACGGCCCAAGTTGTATCTCTTGCCACCTTGCTATGGGTGAGGGATTTTAAAAACTAAAATGGTGTTTCAAGTAACCAGAATGGGTACATAATGGAGATAATATGAAAATATCATGGGGCACAAAGCAAACAAATTACTGGATGACTGTGGAACATCCAAATTCGCACATGGGTGTTGAATCCCATCACCCCCACCTGCTAAGATCCCCAGTTGAAAGTCAAGGTGGCGCCTCTTGGCTTCCATGTCAAACTCCTCCAGTTCAACACCAGAAACGTGTTTGATAATGGGGTAAAAATGTAGAACCAAAATATGGGAGCAGAACAGAATGCCAGTATATGCCAATCACGTTGTTTGACACACTCATATGAGATTCAGCTGGTGCGAAAAAACATCCTTGATTTTGACGGTTCGGCAGTGGATTTCTATCAGGACGTATGTTTTCCCGAGTTTTGCGCATGTTGCTTTCTTACCACATATATGCCCAAGATGTTCGAAGCAGTTTGAAGCCTGCCAGTCCTGGTGCTGTTGATTCACAAGAAGTATTGTTGGAGCAAGAAAGACCACAATCTTTTCCGGGTGCCGCAAGAGAGCTACAAAGATCACTTCAAAGCTGACCAGGGTTTTTCCAGCTCCAGTGGGAAGCACCACGACATGATTCCCTGGCTCTTGGGCTGCCCTGGCAAGAACATCCTGGTACTTCCGCAGGTGAGACATGGCAGAACTGCGGATTCCAAGCCAAAACGGGGCGAAGTGAAGTGCATGCTGGTGGTGCTTATGAAACCACCCACCAGTGGTGTTTATTGAATTTATTGAAACTGGCTATGCGCTACAACAGGGGTTCCCCCATTGGTTTGTCGGAAAATCCTACAGAGGTGAAGTTCCTAGCTAACAACCTCCATTTATAGAGGATTTCCCACTGCCCGGTTTGAAGAGCAAAGGGTATTATATTATACATTGTTTTGGGGTTTGTGGTTTATTCATGCAGTACTTCGAAGGTTGGACACATCTGATCAATGCCTGAACCGTGAATACCGTACTGAATACCCAATGCTGCTTGAAGTCATGAAAATGAAATATGCTACTGCTACCCATCAAACTGTTTTTTTCTCTGAAAATGCTGAATACCCCCAAACGGCAAAAAAAAAATAATGTTGGATACTGATTAGTGTGGGGATACACTATTGTGTCCACAGACCTCAAAATTATTCTGTAACTCTGGAAATGTTCGAGGGGTACACTATTGTGTCCACAGGATTTTGGTGTAAGTTTTTTTTTTTCATTTTTTGTTTTTTAGTTTTTAATTGTTTTTTATTTTATTTTTAAATGTTTAAATATTTTTTATTTTTATTTTTAATTATAGTAATTTTTAATTTAATTATTTAATTATTTTTCGTTCTATTTTAAATTATTATTTATTTTTATTTTTTAATTATAAAAAAAAAATATTTTTATTTTTAATTATGTTTTTTTTATTATTTTGTAAAATTGTGTCAGGATACACAATTGTGTCTTGGTCTTTTTTTGTCGTTCAAACATTTCATTTTTTTCATTTTTAAAGCTTTCTCCTTTTACTTTTTATTTTCCATCATTGAAATTTTCCAGATGCCTTCCACAGAAAATTACATCCAGGTACAAAATAGTGTGGTTTGTTTGGAGGGTACACTATTGTGTCCAGCTGCTTTCCTGAGGTCATGATTTTTTTATTTTTTTCAATCATTTCCTTTACCTTTTCCTTTGCTAGCTAAAGTGTTTTCCTTTCAATCAATTTCTTTCTTAGTTTCTTTCATTTGAAATTCTCAGAAATGCCCAGTTTCCCAAAATATATGATGCCTTATTAAAACCCAATTAAAAAACATCACTCCAACAATTTTTCAAGGGGGTAGTCCATGAGCAACCCTGATACAGAATAGTGTGGTTTGTTTGGAGGGTACACTATTGTGTCCAGCTGCTGTCCTGACGTCATGATTTTTAGATTTTTTTCAATCATTTCCTTTACCTTTTCCTTTGCTAGCTAAAGTGTTTTCCTTTCAATTAATTTCTTTCTTAGTTTCTTTCATTTGAAATTCTCAGAATGACCAGTTTCCCAAAATATATGATGCCTTATTAAAACTCAATTAAAAAACATCACTCAAACAATTTTTCAAGGGGGTAGTCCATGAGCAACCCTGATACAGAATAGTGTGGTTTGTTTGGAGGGTACACTATTGTGTCCAGCTGCTTCCTGAGGTCATGATTTTTTGATTTTTTTCAATCATTTCCTTTACCTTTTCCTTTGCTAGCTAAAGTGTTTTCCTTTTAATTAATTTCGTTCTTAGTTTCTTTCATTTGGAATTCTCAGAAATGACAAGTTTCCCAGAATATATCATGCCTTATTAAAACCCAATTAAAAAACATCACTCAAACAATTTTTCAAGGGGGTAGTCCATGAGCAGCCCTGGTACACAATAGTGTGGTTTGTTTGGAGGGTACACTATTGTGTCCAGCTGCTTTCCTGAGGTCATGATTTTTTGATTTTTTCAATCATTTCCTTTACCTTTTCCTTTGCTAAAGTTTTTTTCTTTTAATTAATTTCTTTCTTAGTTTCTTTCATTTGAAATTCTCAGAAATGCCCAGTTTCCCAAAATATATGATGCCTTATTAAAACCCAATTAAAAAACATCACTCAAACAATTTTTCAAGGGGGTAGTCCATGAGCAACCCTGATACACAATAGTGTGGTTTGTTTGGAGGGTACACTATTGTGTCCAGATGTTTCCTCGTGTGATTTTTTCAAGCATTCCCTTTACCTTTTCCTTTGCTAAAGTTTTTTTCTTTTATGGTATTTCTATGGTATTACTATTGGATTTCTATGGAATTCCTATGGGATATTTCTGGAGGATTTCTATGGGATTTCTGAAGGGGTGCTATGGGAGTTCTATGGTATTCTTATGGGATTTCCATTGGATTCCTATGGGGTTTCTATGGTATTTCTATTAGATTCCTATGGAATTTCTATTGGATTCCTGTGGGATTTCCAAGGTATTTCCATGATGTTTCTATGATCTTTCTATGGGATTTCTGTGAGATTCCTATGGGATTTCCATGTTATGTCTATGGTCTTTCTATGGGATTTCTGTGAGATTCCTATGGGATTTCCATGTTATTTCTATGATCTTTCTATGGGATTTCTGTGAGATTCCTATGGGATTTCCATGTTATTTCTATGATCTTTCTATGTGATTTCTGTGAGATTCCTATGGGATTTCCATGTTATTTCTATGATCTTTCTATGGGATTTCTGTGAGATTCTTATGGAATTTCCATGTTATTTCTATGATCTTTCTATGGGATTTCTGTGAGATTCCTATGGGATTTCCATGTTATTTCTATGAGAGATTCCTATGGGATTTCCATGTTATTTCTATGATCTTTCTATGGGATTTCTGTGAGATTCTTATGGGATTTCCATGTTTATTTCTATGATCTTTCTATGGGATTTCTGTGAGATTCCTATGGGATTTCCATGTTATTTCAGTTATTTCTATGATCTTTCTATGGGATTTCTGTGAGATTCCTATGGGATTTCCATGTTATTTCTATGATCTTTCTATGGGATTTCTGTGAGATTCCTATGGGATTTCCATGTTATTTCTATGATCTTTCTATGGGATTTCTGTGAGATTCCTATGGGATTTCCATGTTATTTCTATGATCTTTCTATGGGATTCTGTGAGAATTATTTTTGGTTTTTGTGGGGGGCCGAAGACCCCACCCCCCCGGGGGTTTATGTTTTGTTTCTTGTTGTTGTTTGTTTCAATTTGGTGTGTTGGGTTTTCCTATGGGATTCCATTATTTCTATGATTTTTCTATGGGATTTCTGTGAGATTCCTATGGGATTTCCATGTTATTTCTATGATCTTTCTATTTTTTTTTTTTTCGGGGATTTTGTGAGGATTCCTATGGGATTTCCATGTTATTCTAGATCGTTCTATGGATTTCTGTGAGATTAGTATGGATTTCATGTTATCATGGGATGTCGTGAGATTCTATGGGATTTCCGATAGGGTGGTTGGTTGGATCTAGTTACGCTGCTAGGTTTGGTAGAGGTTATTTCTATGATCTTTCTATGGGATTTCTGTGAGATTCCTATGGGATTTCCATGTTATTTCTATGATCTTTCTATGGGATTTCTGTGAGATTCCTATGGAATTTCCATGTTATTTCTATGATCTTTCTATGGGAATTCTGTGAGATTCCTATGGGATTTCCATGTTATTTCAGTTATTTCTATGATCTTTCTATGGGGTTTCTGTGAGATTCCTATGGGGTTTCCATGTTATTTCTATGATCTTTCTATGGGATTTCTGTGAGATTCCTATGGGGTGTCCATGTTATTTCTATAATCTTTCTATGGGATTTCTGTGAGATCTATGCGGTTCCATCGTTATTTATGATCTTTCTATGGGATTTCGGTGAGGTCTATGGTATTCCATGTTATTTCTCTATGATCTTCTATGGGATTTCTGTGAGATTCCTATGGAATTTCCATGTTATTTCTATGATCTTTCTATGGGATTTCTGTGAGATTCCTATGGGATTTCCATGTTATTTCTATGATCTTTCTATGGGATTTCTGTGAGATTCTTATGGGATTTCCATGTTATTTCTATGATCTTTCCATGGGATTTCTGTGAGATTCTTATGGGATTTCCAGGTTATTTCTATGATCTTTCTATGGGATTTCTGTGAGATTCCTATGGGATTTCCATGTTATTTCTATGATCTTTCTATGGGATTTCTGTGAGATTCCTATGGGATTTGCATGTTATTTCTATGATCTTTCTATGGGATTTCTGTGAGATTCCTATGGGATTTCCATGTTATTCCTATGATCTTTCTATGGGATTTCTGTGAGATTCCTATGGGATTTCCATGTTATTTCTATGATCTTTCTATGGGATTTCTGTGAGATTCTTATGGGATTTCCATGTTATTTCTATGATCTTTCTATGGGATTTCTGTGAGATTCTTATGGGATTTCCATGTTATTTCTATGATCCTTCTATGGGATTTCTGTGAGATTCCTATGGGATTTCCATGTTATTTCTATGATCTTTCTATGGGATTTCTGTGAGATTCTTATGGGATTTCCATGTTATTTCTATGATCTTTCTATGGGATTTCTGTGAGATTCCTATGGGATTTCCATGTTATTTCTATGATCTTTCTATGGGGTTTCTGTGAGAGTCCTATGGGATTTCCATGTTATATCTATGATCTTTCTGTGGGATTTCTGTGAGGTTCTTATGGGATTTCCATGTTATTTCTATGATCTTTCTATGGGATTTCTGTGAGATTCCTATGGGATTTCCATGTTATTTCTATGATCTTTCTATGGGATTTCTGTGAGATTCCTATGGGATTTCCATGTTATTTCTATGATCTTTCTATGGGATTTCTGTGAGATCCTTATGGGATTTCCATGTTATTTCTATGATCTTTCTATGGGATTTCTGTGAGATTCCTATGGGATTTCCATGTTATTTCTATGATCTTTCTATGGGATTTTCGGGAGATTCTAGGGGATTCCATGTTATTTCTATGATCTTTCTATGGGATTTCTGTGAGATTCTTATGGGATTTCCATGTTATTTCTATGATCTTTCTATGGGATTTCTGTGAGATTCTCATGGGATTTCCATGTTATTTCTATGATCTTTCTATGGGATTTCTATGATATTTCTTTGGGGCTACTATTGGATTTCTATGGGATGTCGATTGAAAGTAAATTGGCAGTAAATTGAATTTAATTGAAAGTAGATTCAAAGTAATTTGAAATCAATTCAAAGTAAATTGAAAGTAAATTGAAATCAATTGAAAGTAAATTGAAATCAATTGAAAGTAACTTCAAATCAATTGAATGATCGAGATCCACAATAGTCTGGATTGTTTGAGGGTACACTATTGTGTCCAGCTGCTTCCTGAGGTGATATTTTTTGAAACATTCCCTTTACCTTTTCCTTTGCTAAAGTTTGTTGCCTTTTACTTAGCTTCATTTTTCTTGGAATCAAAACCAAAGGCTTTCCAAAGGATTAGTTTCAGCCAAGCAAAAAAAACATGAATGATCATGATACACAATAGTATGGTTTGTTTGAGGGTACACTATTGTGTCCAGCTGCTTCCTGAAGTGATTTTGTTTTTTAACATTCCCTTTACATGTTCCTTTGCTAAAGCTTTACTTTCTCAATTAGTTTCTTTTATTTAGAATTCTCAGAAATGCTCAATTTCCAAAAATATATGATGCCTTATTAAAACCCAATTAAAAAACATCACTCAAACAATTTTTCAAGGTGGTAGTCCATGAGCAACCCTGATACACAATAGTGTGGTTTGTTTGGGGGTACACTATTGTGTCCAGCTGCTTCCTGAGGTTATGTTTTTTTTCAACCATTTCCTTTTCCTTTTCCTTTGCTAAAGTTTGTTTCCTTTTACTTAGCTTCATTTGTCTTGGAATCAAAACCAAAGGCTTTCCAAAGGATTAGTTTCAGCCAAGCAAAAAAACATGAATGATCATGATACACAATAGTATGGTTTGTTTGAGGGTACACTATTGTGTCCAGCTGCTTCCTGAGGTTATTTTTTTTCAACCATTTCCTTTTCCTTTTCCTTTGCTAAAGTTTGTTTCCTTTTACTTAGCTTCATTTTTCTTGGAATCAAAACCAAAGGCTTTCCAAAGGATTAGTTTTAGCCAACCAAAAAAAACATGAATGATCATGATACACAATAGTATGGTTTGTTTGAGGGTACACTATTGTGCCCAGCTGCTTCCTGAGGTGATTTTTTTGAAACATTCCCTTTACCTTTTCCTTTGCTAAAGTTTGTTGCCTTTTACTTAGCTTCATTTTTCTTGGAATCAAAACCAAAGGCTTTCTAAAGGACTAGTTTCAGCCAAGCAAAAAAAACATGAATGATCATGATACACAATAGTATGGTTTGTTTGAGGGTACACTATTGTGTCCAGCTGCTTCCTGAGGTGATTGTTTTTTTTCTTTTACTTGAAGTAAATTGAAATCAATTGCAAGTAAATTGAAATCAATTGAAAGTAACTTGAAATGAATATGATCATGATACACAATAGTATGGTTTGTTTGAGGGTACACTATTGTGTCCAGCTGCTTCCTGAGGTGATTTTGTTTTTTAACATTCCCTTTACATTTTCCTTTGCTAAAGTTTTTTCTTTTATTTTATCAATTAGTTTCTTTTATTTAGAATTCTCAGAAATGCTCAATTTCCCAAAATATATGATGCCTTATTAAAACCCAATTAAAAAACATCACTCAAACAATTTTTCTAGGGGGTAGTCCATGAGCAACCCTGATACACAATAGTATGGTTTGTTTGAGGGTACACTATTGTGTCCAGCTGCTTCCTGAGGTGATTGCTGTTTTTTTCTTTTACTTGAAAGTAAATTGAAATCAATTGCAAGTAAATTGAAATCAATTGAAAGTAACTTGAAATGAATATGATCATGATACACAATAGTATGGTTTGTTTGAGGGTACACTATTGTGTCCAGCTGCTTCCTGAGGTGATTTTGTTTTTTAACATTCCCTTTACATTTTCCTTTGCTAAAGTTGTTTCTTTTATTTTCTCAATTAGTTTCTTTTATTTAGAATTCTCAGAAATGCTCAATTTCCCAAAATATATGATGCCTTATTAAAACCCAATTAAAAAACATCACTCAAACAATTTCTCAAGGGGGTAGTCCATGAGCAACCCTGATACACAATAGTATGGTTTGTTTGAGGGTACACTATTGTGTCCAGCTGCTTCCTGAGGTGATTTTGTTTTTTTTATTTTACTTGAAAGTAAATTGAAATCAATTGCAAGTAAATTGAAATCAATTGAAAGTAACTTGAAATGAATATGATCATGATACACAATAGTATGGTTTGCTTGAGGGTACACTATTGTGTCCAGCTGCTTCCTGAGGTGATTTTGTTTTTTTACATGCCCTTTACATTTTCCTTTGCTAAAGTTTTTTCTTTTATTTTCTCAATTAGTTTCTTTTATTTAGAATTCTCAGAAATGCTGAATTTCCCAAAATATATGATGCCTTATTAAAACCCAATTAAAAAACATCACTCAAACAATTTTTCAAGGGGGTAGTCCATGAGCAACCCTGATACAGAATAATGTGGTTTGTTTGGAGGGTACACTATTGTGTCCAGCTGCTTTCCTGAGGCCATGATTTTTTGATTTTTTCAATCATTTCCTTTACCTGTTCCTTTGCTAAAGTTTTTTTCTTTTAATTGCTTAATTGCTTTCTTAGTATCTTTCATTTGAAATTCTCAGAAATGCCCAATTTCCCAAAATATATGATGCCTTATTAAAACCCAATTAAAAAACATCACTCAAACAATTTTTCAAGGGGGTAGTCCATGAGCAACCCTGATACACAATAGTATGGTTTGTTTGAGGGTACACTATTGTGTCCAGCTGCTTCCTGAGGTGATTTTTTTTTATTTTACTTGAAAGTAAATTGAAATCAATTGCAAGTAAATTGAAATCAATTGAAAGTAACTTGAAATGAATATGATCATGATACACAATAGTATGGTTTGTTTGAGGGTACACTATTGTGTCCAGCTGCTTCCTGAGGTGATTTTGTTTTTTAACATTCCCTTTACATTTTCCTTTGCTAAAGTTTTTTTCCTTTTACTTAGCTTCATTTTCTTGGAATCAAAACCAAAGGCTTTCTAAAGGATTAGTTTCAGCCAAGCAAAAAAAAACATGAATGATCATGATACACAATAGTATGGTTTGTTTGAGGGTACACTATTGTGTCCAGCTGCTTCCTGTGGTGATTGTTTTTTTCTTTTACTTGAAAGTAAATTGAAATCACTTGCACGTAAATTGAAATCAATTGAAAGTAACTTGAAATGAATTGAAAGTAACTTGAATTCAATTGAAAGTAAATTGAAATCATTTGAAAGTAAATTGAAATCAATTCAAAATCAATTCAAATCAATTGAAAGTAAATTGAAATCAATTCAAAATAAAATCAAATCAATTGAAAGTAAATTGAAATCAATTGAAAGTAATTTCAAATCAATTGAAAGTAAATTGAAACCAACTCAAAATAAATTGAAATCAATTGAAAGTAAATTGAAATCAATTTAAATCTATCATTTTTTTTGATTTTACCGTATTCTGTACCCGGTACCTTGTTTTTTCCACACTATTCTGTAACCCAAATTTGTTTGGGGGGGGGGGGCCTCCCCACACTAATCAGTAACCTACATTAATTGGGAAGATGATCTGGAAGATGCGGTTCTTGACCCTCAAACTTGGTGGTTCTCCACTTGGTTTTCAAGTTACCCCTTCAATTTCCGGACAAGCAAAAAGCACATATACATCTCTCAAATTTAAGTTATATATATATATGTGTGTGGGTATCATTGTATATCATGTATATCATGATATCATATCATCATATCCCATCAATTCCCCAATTTATATTCCCATGAAGCCTGGCCAGTGGCTGCAACCAGTTGCTCCACAGCTTGGCTCCCAATTCAAAGCCCAAGACCTGAATTGGAGTCGGGTCGGCCATCGGGGAAAAAACAACGGGGACGAAAAACATGGAAAAATGTGGGAAAAATCTGGAAACATATATGGAAAACTGCACATTATGGTGAAAAAACATGGAAAACTAAAACTATGGCAAGAGACCTGAAGAAAAATGGGAAGAACAAGAACAGCTAGAAAGATGGGAAAACCATATTTTTTTTTGGAATTACATATCGAAAACACTTGGAAACGGACAAACAACGATTGGGAATTCGGAAGAACTGTTTTTTTTGTTCCTGTTTACAGAAGCTTCTTTGCGCATGTTATAGGTTGAAAAAGTTTCGGGCGAAGAATTTGATAGAACATTGAAATTACGGAAACAAGTCAGGAAATTGACGAGCCTGCAACACTTTCAAGAGCATATGGGGATGGAACAGAAAAAAAACAGATAAATACAGCCAACAGCATCCAACATCAAAGCCAACAGCATCCTGCATGTCCCAATCGTTGATGGTAAACACCACATTGGACCCTCCTCGGGTCATCCGTGGTCATCGTAACTCCTTTGTGCTCCTCCTCCTCCTCCTACTCAGTCCTTAGATCTGCTCCCCTCTTGCGACTAGTGAAGACTCCGCAAACCCCTGTTATCATTCTACTCCTCCTCCTGCACATCATCATCATCACCACCACCAACAGCATCATCATCACCATCATCATCATCAGCAGCACACGACACTCATCCTCATCTTGATCTTCGTCTTCATTTTTATCATCATGTTCATGATCATCACCATCACCATGTGTTTCATCAACGTCAACATAATGTGTCCTTATATTTGATGTTTGAACCACTTTGATGTTTTCGTTTTCTTACGCAGTTGCTAGATCTATTAAATGGTTCACAGGAAAGACTGAGTTGAATCCTTATATTGGAACTCTTGAAAATCGTTACATCCCAATCATGATCATATTCATCAACACACTGGTTAATTACAACATTCTATTCAATCTAATTCATGCTGCGGATGTTTCACAATGATTAATCTACTACCCTAGGGTAAGCTAACATAAATGTGAAAAACCCATGGCTTCCTTGGGACAACAATCTACAAATAGCTGATTTTCCACTATCTTATGTATCTACCCTCTGGTTATTTAACAAAGCTATTCAAAATGATTTACCTGTTGAAAATGGTGTTTTTCCATGGCCACGTTAAATGACCAGAGGCTATATGTTATTTTACTCCAGGGAAAATCTCGTTGTTTCATGACGCACGGCCATCCGAACCTCGTGGTCTTCGAAGACGCCACTGGCCAGTTGGCTCACAGCTTCGAGACCTGCCTCCTGCCGGAGAAGATGCTGCAAGCACCATCACGCATGACTGATCGTAAAGTAACATCAAATGTCACCATATCATCACTGAAGATTTTTAAGGATATTTAAGGATAATAATTACTTGTTATATCATATCATCATATCATTTATGTGCTTACACTGAGGATCATTGAGGATTATTGAGGCACTTGTTGATGTTTCGAATTATTTATGCTGCTATGATTATGTATTATGGAGGTCCTCAGAAGTGACTCACAATCACCATCAATAAAAACGTCGGAATTGAACATAGCCATGGGGATCACCATGATAATCATCTTTTGATGGGCGATTTTTCATAGCTATGCTAGCTATGTTAAATACCACAGGGTAACTGATACCCTCTGGTAAACAATCATAGCTATCAAAAATTGTGATAGAAATAGCGGATTTACCCATTAAAAATGGTGATTTTTCCATAGTTTTTGTATGTTTACCAGAGAGTATCTTTGTTCACCGCTTCCCTCCCCTCCCGGAGGGAACCTTCTCCAAGTCCGGTCGCCAGCTGATGAGTCTCTGCGCCAGTCGTTCTCGCGGACGTAGCCTCCATGGGGGGGGACCCAGGAATTCGACTGGATGAAAAACCCATTTCTAGTGGTTAAACATGGTTGGTATATATGTCCCAGATGCTCCATGTATGGAATATTTACCTACATTTGAGCCATTTTGGCGGTAAATGTACGTAGGCAAATATCACATACATGGAGCACCTGGGTGTTGAATTATGTTGACATGTTGTTACATATTGTTACCCACTGACCGAGATGCGCATTCAACTTTCCACTGCAGGGGAAGGAAAGAGTCACAGGATAATATCGAGAAAAATTGACCGCGGCAAGAAAGGAATACAGGATCCCCAAAAATCAAAGAGGATGATTCACACCCTTTGATAAAATTCATACTACACTGGACATTAGTATTTACCAAGACTTGTGTAAAACAATAGGTGATGATTTAAAACAAAATTGTTGCGGTACTTTCCCGCATGTTCCAGTGCCCTTGTTCGGGATTTTACATACCCCCTAGCTCCAATCAACCCATGGATATTTATGATTTATGTGTGATTCTACCATTCTTATCCAGCGTTCAGAAATTGGGGGCCCGCAGTACATCGACATTCTAATGGGAGAATCGTTTAATTTACTTATACAATTATTGGTGCTTAGCAAGGAACGGGATAATGATTAACAGCTAACAATTATCCCGTCCCCCCATCCACTACCAAACACTTGTAAGTTTATACCCCCGCCCTCCGGTAATCAAACGTGGCTGGTGTGAAAATCCCACATCGACGGCGGATTTCCAACACCAAAAGTTCTGATAAACCCAGGTTTTCACCGCAGGCCCATCAGCTGACGTTGCAACAACGGATGCCTCTTACTAAAACCTGTAGCGAAAAAAAAGTATTCGTATAAACAAATATAGTTTGCCTGTGAAAACGCGCTGACACCCTGGTAGGTTTTCTGCACAAAAAAACACTGTTGGAACGACATTGTCCTTCGTGTTAGATCTAAGAGTACTCCAGCAACTGGGCGCATCCCTTTGAATATTACACAAAAAATCGACAAATGGATATGTTGATACAACTCAGCTCAGAAGCTCACAGGGACAAGGATGACAAGTTTCAACTCAAAATTCTTACCTCGTCAGAATCATCAGAGATTTCAATGGCAGTTGCCTGTGGCATGTTTCTTTGGTTCTTCTCATACGCTTGCGGAGATATTTCTCAGCTGCCTGGATGGAAGATTTCACAAGTTTCTTCCTCAAGAGTTCCTTCCGCTTGTCAGGGATAAAGTCTTGTGTGGCCAGTTCATTGCGTACATATTGCTCTTACATGCCTTAAAGCTGCGGTGACTGTGGCAACCTGTTTCCAAGCCAAGGTTTTTCTTAGTTTGGATAGCAAATGCAGTGATGAGAAAAGTATGGCTTGCAAACGTTTTCAGCATAAACAATTCCAATCAATATTGTATGCAATTGAAGGCTTGCTGCCTCTGATCTGATGCACGCACGCCAACTGAAAGGCTGTAAGTTTCATCCCCCAGAACATTGGAGCCCATTGATCGCCTGCAAGCCTGACAGTACAGGTGTTCCCGCTGTTGCCAAGTATATAAATCTGCCAATTTCAATTTCAAGCAAGTGAGCGGACAACAAAATTTTGTTGAGCGAAGAGACCTCGGCCAAAAAGAATGGGGTCGCAGCCACTCAAAAGTAAGAATTGCATGTATATCAAAAAGGTGTCTTTCCAGAACGAAGGCTTATTAGCATTTCTTGTTCGGCAATTTTCTCACGTCTTACTTATGAGTCCAGCAGCACAGAGAATATAGGGTTTGACAAAAAAAACAGAGCGAACAAAAAAACAAACTAGAAAACCAAAATCCAGGATAAAACAAGAAAAAAAACACACAAAAAAAAAACAACACACCAACAAGAGAAACAAGAAAAAAAACATGAAAATAAAACTGGGAAAATGCAGGTTTTGATGTCTTTTTTTATTTATGTTTTTTATCTTGATTTTTCTGGTGACTCTTCCTGTTGAGTTGTTTTTTTGGTGATTCGGTTTTTGATTGTGTTTTTGTTTTTTTGCTAAAACAAGCTTTCTCTGTTCTACACGGGGTCATATAAGTCACGTCTGACTCATCTGACACGGAATGAAGCGTACACTGCGGTCTGGATCTAGCGTCCTCTGCCAATTGACTTCCGTTTGGGAGGTCGTTGCCGACGTGGCTTCTTGATACCCATCCCCAAGCCAAAGGACAATGAGTTCGTGAAACGCTCCAATGTCTCCAATGACACAAAAATACATAAGTTTTGGATAGTTTTGGGACGATTACCCGCTACGTACCTTTGAGTCAAGCCTCGACCCTGCGCAACGATTTCTTCAGGTTGATTTGTGCTGCAGAAATATTCTTTAACAACCAATTCAATTCCTATAATCCCAATTGGGATTGATGGAACTGAGATCAAAACCAAAAGCCGGGAATCAAAAATGGTTGCCCGAATCTGTACAAAAATAAATATGTTCAGCATGTTTCAGCAGGCTTCCAAGTTTCGGAGAAAAACATCAAACACCACCCCTCGAGCCGCAGGAAGTGTGTAAGTGCCATCATTGCATCTCGGAGTCACTGGTCTCTTCACCACTATCTTCACTGGAGAGCCACTCCTTGCCCTTGGAACAGGAGTTTCGGGCGACAAGGACGTAGACAGCGCACCCTGCAAGGCAAAAAACAACGTTCACAAAATACACCATGGGCAAGTTGCCATCGTTCAGATTATTCGGCGTCCAACTCTTTGTCGCTTGAGTCAGTGCTGCTGAAATAGCGTTTGGGAGGCCGCCCATAGCAAACTGGCAGAACGCTTGCATCAAGGATTTCATCGCCGGGTCCGCCGTGTAGGCCACATGCCAAAGTACCGGATTCACCAAGACCTCACCTGTAAACTCTAGGCGGGATCCAAGACATCGAGATCCAAAACCATTCGGGCATCCCCCACCAAGAACTACATGTTTTTTATTAAAGCTTTTGACTTTGTATATACTGCTTCAATGCTTTCGATGTTAAAACACTTTCCCATCCCGCAAAAATCAAGCCACAAGAGTGATTCTTTTACCTGCCCACCTATGCCCACCAGGGCATAAGGCAGAACCATCCAAAATGCACTCATGGCGCTCATCCTCACATGACCATCTGGCCCTAAAGGAGCACAATTCGATGGGATGGGCAGAACATTCGCACTGCGGCGGCTGTACTCCAGGCCGGCAGCAGTGAGCTGTGAGGCAATGGCCACTGAAATGCCTGGATCTTGCGGGCTAAGGATGGCAAGGATTGAAGGCACCCGTTAAACGAAATTTGGGGGTGCCAAACACAGAGAATATCATCAAAACCATTCAAAACCCAAATTCATCAAAATCATAACAAACATCAGAAAACTCGGCAAAACATGCCTTTTCGTCTGGGCCAATTCTGCCTGTCAAAACCTTCATGTTGCTGGTCACCTCCCTTCGTAGAAGTTTCTCTGCAGCAGGGACAATGAATCGCTCGAGCAAAGGCGTCAAGATGATCACTGGGAAGGCGTCGCCCAAATTGAAAAAGGCCCCGCTGAGCTGCCTGCCACCAAACCGGGTATCCATCTGACAGGCTTGGGAATAAAACAGGCTGAACATGGTGTTGTAAACCACGTTGAACGTGACATTCCCCACAATGATCTTTGGCACCACGTCCAGACATCTCGTGATGCTGTCAGGCTCTCCCAACCAGGAGTTGTCGTGGTGCGCCACACAAAGGCAACCAATGCAAACCAGGTCGACTAAAAGGCTCACTATCGTCAGTGAGAGTGATGGGTGAAAGACTTGCAACACAGACCTGGCACGTGACAAGATGGTCCACATGCCCACTCCGATAAGCCGCCCCGCGAAAAAAAAAAACAAGAAAACTTTAAATCAGACTAAGCGTGTCTCAAAATATCAGATGGGATTTAAGATGGCGTGAGATCTTGTAATTCATTGCAGTATCGTTTATTTTCAAACTTATCATATATATATATATATATACATTATACAGATATATTATAGTATATTTATTTATCTATGCCGTCTCGAAGTTTGTGAGCGTTGGCAAACAAAGGCTAGATGTCCCAAATCAGCTCCCAGAGACAGGATGATGAGCGTTGGCAGCAGCAGCCAGCCCAGCAAGGCCACCTTACCCAAGGTCTGGCGGTGGCCACCCAGCAAGCGTCGGACAGCCGGCATCAGCACTGGCTTTGTGTTCTTCTCAAAGCTTTCCTTGCGGTAAAATGGAGTGCCCACTGTGAACACAAGTAAGGCAATGGCCATGAGGGAGGCCATGATGATGTAGGCGCAGAAAAAACCATATTCTTTCGGGATGTAGGGTGGCAAGCCTGCAGTGGCAACATTGGCTAGAAAACCAAATGCAATGACAGAGCCCACACTCATACATACGTAGAGGTACATGAAGAATGCCTCCTTCCTCCGAACCGACTCTTCGATTGCAGGGTCGAACTGGTCAGCACCGAAGGTGCCGATGTTAGGCTTCACCCCACCTGTGCCAGGAGCTGTGAGCACCAAAATGCCAATCATGAAGAGAGGAATGCTCTCAGTCCCAGGGTTGGCGGCCACGGCGGTAAGTGCACAACCAGCCACGTAGACGGCTGAGAAGATCAGGATTGTCATGTATCGGCCGATGTAGCACTCGGCCACGATGCCGCCCAGAAAGGAAAGGGCGAACGAGAGGAGAGTGAAGATCCTCAGAATTTGGTAGAAAGAGGTACCAGATGCAGGGTGCCCAATGGGAAACTACCAACTGTATCCGAATGCCCATCTAGAACATCCATCAACATCCTACAACCAATACGCACCATGAGCTGGGTCATACCACAGCATGCCCGAGACTCTGGTGTACTGAGCTGCTGTCAGCATTGCTGAAACCCTGATCCTGGAGCCAGGACTTCATAGTGCTCACCAGCGTGTTCAACCCAACACTCCAGCATAGCTCAATGACTACAATGCACACCACAGCAATTGCCATGGCACAAGTCAAACCTAATTTTGATAATATAATTCAGCAATGTCCTGACATGTCCTGACATGTCCTGACGCTCGGATCCATCCAGGAACGTATTACAAGCAAATGTGCTCACCGTCGAAATCTCACTGCTTGCTGGCCAGTGTGAGGTCTCCAAAAATACTACGAGCCATCAAATACTCAACGCGAAAGGCCACCAACATAAGAAACCCTGCAAGAATACCAACAAAACATCTCAACATATCAGAAAATTCATCTTCCTTGGACATGTCATGATTCCATTGCTACTTGCAAAGCCTACGCTCTAAAACGTTGAAATGCCACACAAGATACCCTTCAGGATCGCACCTCTCTGCGGGTAGTTCCTGGTTGTCCAGCCTGTCCTCAGACGCTGCATCCATTGAAATCACCGTTTTTGCCTCAAAGATATGGGGAAATCAATGCGGTTCATTCATGATTGTCCAGTAAACAACTCCTTGTAGTAAATGAGTTGATGAACTGGTGACACTTCAACAATTTACCAAATTAAAAAACGAGTGACAATCATTCTGTGCGAAATTAACTGGACGCAAAGCAAACACGGGTGACATGCAGCTGTCATGCCGAGTTCGTGCTTAGGAAATCTATGCTACCAGCAAACATAAGAACATGCCTGCCGCATTTTAACCCATACTGCCAGCTCAGGAAAGAACAGGACTGCTGCGTTTGACCATGTTTGTAAGAGTTAATCCCTTCTGATTAGGCCCGCGTGTGGGAGCGTGTTGGCTCAAGGAAAAACTATCATCTTACACACCCCTACGCTGGATTTGTAATCACATCATCCCTTTTTCTTGCCCGGGTGCTTTGCCAGTTGGACTCACATCTGTTAGAAATCGCCCCATCCGCCAGGCCGCTCCATCGCTGCCGGCCGTCCGATTCCCGGGCAGCCCCAGCAGCTGCTGCCAGCAGCGTGGCCGCTGCCCGCGGCCGAAGCCACCGAAGCGCCGGAGGAACTCGGCAAGCGCCGCAGACGACGCGGGGAACGACGCGGGCTCCGTGGGGGGGACGGCCTGGGGGGTGACTGGGATGGGTCCTGGGGAGAATGGAAAATGAGGCCGAGATTTGTTTGGCCAAATTTGTAGATGTCACAGTCACACATTGTTTGTTAAGTCATACATTATTCTGAATTGATATGCGATTATACACTGTAAGGTTTGAGACTCAGCCAGTGGAAAGAGCTGAACAAAGCAAGCCCTTCTCTTTGGGGACAAGCATCCAGGCCACACATAGGCACACAGCCATATACATGACATACATAATTCCATCAAAAGTAATGGAGATGTATAGATCAATGCACACACACACATATATATATATACACACACTACAATATATAGGTTAAAGAAATATGTGTATGTTTTGTTTTTGTCTATGTAGTTACTTATTTAGTTACTTATTTATAGATAGAGGAAACATGATAATCTATAGGAACATCATAACATCACAAACATAATAGGTTGACCCGCCTCTGCAGACTTCGAGCGAGGCAAGGTCCGCAAGGGCTGCCTGGGAGGAGGGATGCATCGGATCAGGTGGTGGGAGCAACGTTGAAGCTTCAGAACCATCCAGCCTATATATATATAGATATATTTAAAAAAACAGATATAAATGCGTGCGTATACATATATATATATATATATACGGTAACTACATTTAGATATACGTATTTTTAAATATACGAACAGATATTTTAGACTACCTCCGGGAAGGTTTTCCTTGGCCCACCCAGCCATTTAAACATACGGAATCCAATTCATTTAAACATACTGCAACTACATTTAAATATACGAACTGGCATTTCATACTACCTCTGGGGCCTCGCGGTCTGGCCCGCCCTCCACATATTTAAATGTCGTTACCGTATATATAAAAATTTTAATGGGAAATGATGATTGCATATGGTAATATATGGTTATATCTTCGGTTTTCAATTGTTTTACATAGTTATTTATGGTATTATATGGTTGTATTGGGGATGCGGGCCTCTTGGAGGTGATTACCAATCTAAAGGATAGCTTTCCGGGCTGGGTACAAAGCCAGAAGAACATACCAAAAACACCGTAGCTGCCAGGCTGGGAAACAAATGAGAAATATTAAAGAAACCATCAGCGACTACCCAAGGTTAACCCGGAAATTTGATTTGGATTCCTTGTTCTTGCCACCCCTTCGCTGCATGATTGAAAGTCAACACAATTTTCCAGCATGTTTCTGAGGTTAGATAAGTTGGCCGAAGGAAGTTTAGAAGTCAAACTTCCGACAATATGGACAGATGGAAAAGCAGAGGTGGGAAGAGTCAGGGAAGAGAAGAGAAGAGAAGAGAAGAGCAGAGCAGAGCAGAGAAGAGAAGAGAAGAAAAGAAGATCAGGGAAGAGAAAGAGTCAGAAGACAGAAGATGCAGGTGCGCGAAAAGGTAGGAAAGTCGCGAAACACTGTGTTTTTTGTCCACTGATTTGTGGCTCCGGATAGTCGAAAAGTAGGCTCGCTAAAGCGTCGGGTGCGGAGCCATGTGGTCAGATGAGAGATGAAAAGTTGCACGCCGTTGTGGCGTGAAGCACATTTCGAAGTCAAAATGTACAAAGCGCACCAGGCTCGGACCACTTTTGGAAGTTGATATGTCGAAAAAGTGCACTCCGTTGTGGTGCGAAGCACATTTCCAAGTCAAAATGTACAAAACACGTCAGCCTCAGCACTTTGGAAGTTGAGATGTTGAAAAAGTGCACACCGTGGCGGCGCGAAGCACATTTCCAAGTCAAAATGTTAAAAGCATCATATTTTCGGACCACTTTTGGACGTTCAGATGTCGTTTCGCGTGGCAGGCGCAAGGGATTCGGGAATAACACCTGATGGTTTTGTAGCAGTTTTAAAAACGTTGGCAGGCGGGAGGCTCAAAAGAAGTGCGACACCGCGGCGTTGAAGGTGATGTCCCGGACAGGGCGCGGCTTTGGGTTCAGAAGCTTTGAAACAAATAGATAGATAGATAGATAGATAAATAGATAGATAGATACATAAATATAGATAGATAGATAAATAAAGATAGATAGATAGATAGATAAATAAAGATAGATAAATAGATAAATAAATATAGATAAATAGATAGATAGATAGATAGAGAGATAGAGAGATAGAGAGATAGAGAGATAGAGAGATAGAGAGATAGAGAGATAGATCGATCGATCGATCGATAGATCGATAGATAGATCGATAGATGGATAGATAAGATAGATCGATAGATGGATAGATAGGTAAATAGATAGATGGAATGGATAGGATAGTATAGGATAGGATGGGATAGGATGGGATGGGATGGGATAGGATGGATGGATATGGATAGAAATTATTTTAAACCACGGTATGCGTGCGTGATTGTGCGTGCGTGCGCTTGCGTATGTGTGCGTCGACCTTCCACGGGGAAAAATTGCACCCTCTTCTTTTGCATTCTCCTCTTCTTCTCCCGCTATTCATTGTTCCCTACATCTTTGTGTGGGGTTCTTGTTTCTGATTCTGTATCCCGCTCCTCCCGGCCCCGCCGCCTCCTCACGCATCTTTGTCACACACACCATCGTCGTTCACACACACACACACATCTTTCACACACAACTTTGTCGCACACTCTCTTTCACAGACCATCTTTCACACACAACTTTGTCACACACCATCTTTCACACACCTCCTTTGTCACACAACTTTGTTGTGGCGTGGCACTTGGCGACATCCACCTTCGTCTCACGTGGCAGGCGTGGCACTTGGCAACATCCACTTTCGTTTGGCGTGGCAGGCGTTGACTTTTGGCACTGGGCTGGCTCTGGTGGCGCGCTTGGTCGCCGTTAGTCGCTCGTGACGCCGCGGCACTTTGCGTGGCAGGCGCGGCACTTGGCGACATCCACCTTCGTTTTTGCGTGGCAGGCGTGGCACTTATGGCACTGGGCTGGCTCTGGTGGCGCGCTTGGTCCCCGTTGGTCGCCCGGGGAGCCGCGGCATGCGTGGCACTTGGCGACATCTATCGTCGTTTTGCGTGGCAGGCGTGGTGCTTGGCGACATCCACCTTCGTTTTGCGTGACAGGCGTGGCACTCGGAGACGTCAACCTTGTTTTTGCGTGGCAGGCGTGGCACTTGGTGACATCGACGCGAACACACAAACTTCCACACAAACCTCTTTCATACACACCTCTCGAACACACAACCTTGAACACACATCTCTTTTTAAACATACCCCTTTCACACACAAACCTGAACACACACACACACACTTCCACACACAACGCTTTCATACACAACACACACACAACTCTTTCACACACAGTTCTTTACACGCAACTTTGTCACTCACATCTCTTTCACGAACTTGAACACACAAACTTCCACACACATACACACAACGCTTTCACACACAGACACACAAACTTCCACACACAACTCTTCCACGCACAACCTTTCACACACAATTCTTTCACACGCAAATTGTCACACACAACTCTTTTACACACAGCCTTTCACACAAAACTCTGCTACACACAACTCTTTCACACACTGCCTTTCACACACGACGCTTTCACATACAACATTGTCACACACAACCTTTCCTTGTCACACACAGCACTGTCACACACAACTCTTTCACACACAGCTCTATCACACACAGTTCTTTCACACAATCTGTCTTCCCCTTCCCATTTTCACACCTGTTTTGAGCTTGCTGGAAGAAGTTGACATGTGGGGTTATCCGGTCCTTGATTTTTTTCTCACGGTCCAACCACCAGTAATTGTTGTTGCTAGCTCTTGGTGGTTTTGTTGTCTGTATTGCTGTTGAAGTGGCGGTGCTACGGGGAAAAGCTATTCAGAGGACTAGCCGGCCCAAGGACCATGTCTCATGGAAGCCAGTCGGCCCCTGGCTGCAACCACAAACCTTCCTCTGGAACAAAGGCCTTGGTTGCCCCGCTATCAAATTGACGGGGCATCAATCTTCAATCACATTCACACCACCCTTTGATCAGACTATCTTGTGAACAGATCACTTGGCCCCAGCGCGGAGCGGCTAGAAGAAATGCGCAGGCTGGAAGAACTGGTCGGCCCCGAATTCCTCTCACAAGGTCACAACCCTATAGGGTTCAGAAAATATCGCAACACATTGAAAATTGAAATCCCCAATATGGTGGCACGCAGCTGGGCCTTAGCGGGGCCAAACCTCTGAGACAGTCGTCAGCGGGAGCTCCAAGCACTGCTGCAGCTGAATTGCCTTCCAGAGGATTCTGGGCAGAAGGACAAAGAAAACAAGATAGCAACCTCCAAAAAGATGGAAAATAGATTCCCTAAATCATGGATGAATCACGTTTCGATCTTTATCGGGGTTACTATGGTTTGTTTTGCATGGAACTTACAGTAAAAGACTGGTATTCCGATTGAAACGGAACGTCCAATGAATCCTCTGCCAACCCTGCCTGGTCGAAGACCGAGCTGCCTCCAAGCGCAAATGCTCCAAGTACCCTGCCTAGTTGGAGACCGAAAGGCAAGAAATGGTTTGGTGTCCACCAACAACCAATGCGTCTTATGCTGACATGGAAGTCGAAGTCAACACAGGTCGATTGAGCTCCAAAAAAGGGGAACGTGACTTCATGGTAATAAGGGAAAATAATGGGAAAAAACAAGTTGGGCAAATAGAAACAACGGATGCAACAGTTTTGGCCCCAGCCAGAGAGACAGGCGACTCTTAATGACAACATCCATCGACCACACAACAGGAGATGGCAACACGACAAACCAAATATGCAAACAGTAGAAGGCGGACACATCAACATCTCACAAGCTTTGGTAGCTGTTCGTCAACTACCTGCCACCAAGGCCAACAAGTCAATCAAAGGTTGCACAGACCTTTGTTCCATGCATTCCATCCACCACATCAGAATATAAATTTGCTTCTTTTTGATGCCATCTCCTCCCAAAGAAAGAAACCAGAGATGCAACAGGTGTAAGGCCCAACACAAATCAACCACACAGCAGATATTTTCATTCTAGGCTAAGCAACACACAGCTGACAACTCTATTCATCAGTTTCGCCAGAAGAAACAGCTGAGCACACAGCGTTTTCACATTTAACAACGCCGGTCTCCTCTTCGCACGGCGCGGCAATGATTCCGGCCGCTATAGTGGTGGACTTGAGTGTTGACGCTGTCGTTGCTCAGCCGTAGCCTCCGGCAACAGAAATCTACCGGCTGTATGATAGCACACACACTGTCATCAGAAAGCGTAGCTGACTGCAAGTATTCTGCGCATATTCATACCTCGCACTTGGTGACCTGTGACGGACTCAGCAGAGCTACGGCCTCTGACAAGAAGAATTACCATGCAGGACCAAAGGATGGATTGTTCATTGAACACCACGCAGGCCAAGCTGCTTAAGCTGTTCATTGCGATTCTCCACCTGTTTTGGTGCGTATTTGCCACTGAAATAGCCACAGAAGTCGCTCCAACCAGCCGACCCTGTTGGTTTTAGCTGGCAATACCTTCAATGTGATCTTCATGGTCATTCATTTCAGCATCCAGATCCATGCGTCTATGGCATCTATTTTAAGGATCAGGAAAAAAGTGAACCGTATAGTCTTAGGAAACATCATATTCTGTGAATATCTGATATCACATAACATGACAAATAGGTAGATAGTCAGAGAAAGAGAGGAGACTCAGAGCCTCAACCACCTTTCGGTCCATCAATGGGTTGGTTCTGCCATCCGTGAGTCACAACAACTCACCTCCCCTATAGTTTCCTATCTTTGAAACTTCCGCCATCGCCTTGTGCGGTACTACTGGTATACGGTATAAGCAGAAGTGGAGATTATATTTAGTAGCGAGTAGTGATTATAGTACTAGGATAGAGCAGTAGTTGTTCTTCACCGTTTTAGGGGAATTTTCCTCCTCTTTTAGTGGTTTTCATTGAAGAATCCCTAATCCCGGAGGCACTTAGAGATCATCCAATTTCGTTGCATACCAATTCCATATCAAGCCCACATGCACTCCAGTAAACAGGTTGCTTTGCAAGATCACCAGGTCACCATTTTCTTTCACCAGTAAATGATCAAACTAAGAACAGTCGGAAAAACAGCCATAGCCTTGCAACCATATTAGCACCAGTGACTTGGTTTCTGACCAGTTCGGCACCTGCTATGCAGTGCAAAGCCCATCATCATATCCATCCAAAAATCCCCAATTCCCATGAAATTGACTATATATATAATTATATAAATCCCATTTTATAGGCATCATGTACCTGCTAGATGCCCTGCTATAATATACCCAATACTAAACCCATGTCAAAGCAATCTTAGACAGATTCTGCTTAGTTAAGCTTAGTTAATCTTAGTTCCAAGTGGCTTCGGCCCTTGCCCGCTGCGACGACTGTGGGATCTGGAGGACTTGCGTGGCTGCAGCTGTTTCACCGAAAAAGTCATCCTGGATGGTGGGGCTTCACACAGTTTTTGTTGTTTTTGAAGCCCATTTTGAGGTGGGGTTCACCCCAGAAATTGATTGGAATTGACCATGAAACCACCAATGATGAAGGGATTTCATGTTGTAAACCCAATCATAAAAAGCATCCCCGAGGTAAATCGAATTGGGTATATCGGTAGAAATGGGATGATGTGAAATGATCCCCAATGGTTGGTTGATGGGCAAAAACCCAAGTCCTGTCAGTAGCGAATCCGATGAGTTTTATGGGACACCACCTTGCAGCTGTCCATTTAGGAAAGTCATATCCGAACAAGCAAAATAACATGTCAGAGCTTCGTTCCCAAATTCTGCCTAAGAACCTCCTTGAAACGATAGCTCTGTTGGCTCCGTTCCTGAAACATCTGAGAAGTCCAATTCCCAATCCAAGCTTCGCAGTCCCTGCTAAGCCCACAGCCACTCCAGAGACAGCCACATCCAGCGTAGATAAGCCTGGCCTTGGGATTTTCATGGGATTTTCATCATGAAAAGTCACAGGTTTCCATGGAAACCTTCTCTGCATTGTTTCCCCTCCTTTAAATCGACACCAAGATCTATTTGTTTTTCCTCATGTTGCGTTCCTCTTATTGACCAAACTGTTGGAAGCCATTTCTTTTTGAATATTGTTTGAGACAATCCAACTTCTGGCTGATTGCAATCCAACATCTCTGCCAGCTTTTGAAATAATTCACTCATTCAAAAAGTAATCTCTGCTGGATTCAAATAAAGCCACTGCACAATGATGTCACAACGAATCACCCAGGCAGCTTCGAATGGCTTCAAAGGCCACTGATGTATGGGTCAAAATCACCACAACCCCTCAAAATACTGTGGATGGTTGCGAAATCCGGCACCACCTTGGATGGTTAAAACCCTATGAATAATGGGATAAACGACCTATCAACTGGTGCAGGATTTCACAAACATCCACTGTAGATGGTCCAACGCGAAAGAAATGACAAGTTCTTTGGCCTCTGCCTCAACGACCTGATCCCTACCCATTCGAAACCATCAGTGGGTCATATCCCCATTTATTGCTGACTACCCCCCCACTTGTTGCCCTTAAAAATCCAACTTGTTGTTGATCTACTTTGCTAGATAAATCACATTAAATCACCACTTGCGATGGTAAAATCCCTGTTTGTGTTGGTCTCATGTTCAATCCCCATGTCTACACATGGTTTGCTGCTTACTTCCGATGTCTTCCCGGTGAAATCATATTAAATCCCAATATCATCCTTGCGTTTGTGTGTGCGTGTGTGGGTTGTTGAAATATCACCCACGTTTTGCCGCTTCCAAGGCACCCACTTTCCCCCATCCCATACCCTCTGGTAAACTAACATAGCTATGGAAAATCACCATTTTCAATGGAAAAATCCACTATAAATGGTCATTTTCAATAGCTATTTTGACATAACCAGAGGGTATTCCTCCAAGGCACCAGGGGACATGTCGCAGCTGGCCACTGGGCACCTCCAGGAGCAGCACCTCCTCCCGCGTCGCCAGCAGCAGCTGCCGCCGCGCCGCCAAGATCTGCTGCAGCCGCGGCATCTGAAGCCGCCAGGGCACCGTCAACGCGTCGCTGGCGCCGTAGGGGATGCTGGGGACCTGGGAAACTACCGCCCTTTTTGGAGGTGGTGGGTGGCATGGTATTCCTAGAAATTCCGGAATAATGGTGATGTATATATAAGTCATATTTCATGAATTGTATGCGTATGGATTTTTCATGATCTTTACGTTTACTGTAGATACTTTGAGTATTTGACCATGCTGGCAGAAAACACCGAAGTGATGTGCAGGAAGGGACACAAGTTGTCAAATGAGGTGAGAGGATTCATTCAATACAATGTCTGCCAAAGGCTGAAACCGTTTCGGAACAGACCTGAGAAAACATGATGGATTTTCCACCCCCAAGCGCATCACCACAGCTAGCCTTCCAAACGAGCACTTCGTGAGTCTTCGACTTCTTTTTCTTCGCCACCATGCCCACCTTGGACTAGTAAAAATGGACTATGATAGGGTATAGGTATGGGCCCAATCCCTGACAACTGGAAGAAAGGCTCGAGAAACATCAAAAACCACAAAGACAAACGGTACCAAACTATGATATCCATCAACAAATATCCCAGGGAAAAATATGTTGGAATCTATGTTGGGATCTATGTATGTTGATCTGTGTGGGAAAAATATCTTCCAACAGCCACACCCGACTTCCCCGCGAAGCCATCAACACATCGCCACCAGCGAACGAAGCCATCGCCGATGGCCAACTGCGACAAGCACATGACCTTGGTGCCAGGACGTATCGGGAGAGGTAGCCGACCTGGTAAATGTTTACAGTTTGCGAGCTGGAACATGGGCCATAGAAATAGTGGATTTAGCCATGAAAAAATTGTGATGTTCCATTGTTTTTTGTATGTTTACCAGAGGGTAACAGTTTGCGAGCTGGAGAATCACCATCTGTAATAGGTAAATCAACTATATTTCTATGGGCCATTTTCAATAGCGAACTGTTGAATTACCGGGGGGTATTCGGAGGAACCTCTCACCGAACCCATGCCATTTCTTTTGATCCTCTCTGTATATCTCTGTATCTCTCTGTATCTCTCTCTCTCTCTCCCTCTCTCTCTTGCTGAGTCACTCTCCTGAGTTTCTCCATCTCTCTCCCTCTCTCTCTCTCTCTCTCTCTATCTGTTTGCCTATCTAGCTATCTATTACCCCAATGTCCCAATGTCGACCCAAAAGCGCTTATAAACATACCACAAAACATCACGAAACGCCTAAAACATCATCAGAATCGGAATATCTATAATATCATAACATAATTTAATCATCATATATATATAATAATATAATTAAAAAAAATAATAATAATAATAATACTAATAATAATAAGAAAAATAAGGAGAAGAAGAAGAAGAAGAAGAAGAATGATAATAATAATAATATCATAACGGATCACCATAAAAATATATAAACATATCACCTCTAAACATCCCCCATCCATCGTCCAAGGCACCGCAACGCCATCCAACCTGGGCACCACCCCCTCCGCCAGCGGCGAGGAGCCGCACCACAGGGACCAGCTGAGGCGTCCACGCTGAGGTCCAGCGTGACCGCGGTAGAGGGCGCCCACCTGGGAACAGGCAAAGCCGCTTGGAGCCGGTTGGGGATGGGCAAATCATGGGATGATGATGATGAAACCCATGACGGATCCATGGTGCTGGTATATGTGCTAACATTTGGGGTATATTGATGGTAAATGTTACTGGATCCTATGGGAAATGGTCCCAAGATGGTGTTGTCCTGTGATTTTGGGTGGACATATTGCAAGTTGCAGGGGTTCTTTTTTGATCAACTCACTGACCAGGCGTATCAACCTGTTTAGAATCAGATTTAATACCCTCCGAGAATTGAACACGGCGAAGGATGGCCCATTTATAGTTGATTTACCTGTTAAGTACCCGATAAAATTACCATCAATTACCATAAATGACCTATAAATTACCCAGAGATTACCTATAAATTACCTATAAATTACCCAGAGATTACCTATAAATTACCTATGCCTATAAATTACCTATACATTACCCATCAATTGCCATTGACCTACGGTTCTCCAAGGGCCCAAAACCCCCCCACCTGCGACGTCGCCAAGGCTGCTGCGATGAGCTGCGCCTCTGGGCCGCTCTCGATCTGCCGCAGCAGGGACCAGTCGGAGATTTGCCTCGTTGGAAACGAGGAAAAAGCAACCACCAAAGCTGGTTGGTGGTATACCGGAAAATATGGCTATTCCCATCAAAAATGGGATTAAGAATGATTATATAATATGGATTATATACTGGATATGGACATATCCATTTTTTCCAGTTCCATGGAACTACAGTAGTTCATTTAACCCGTTCAATTGGTTTGACCCAGCTAGATACCAAAAGCTGGTTGATGGTATACCTACCCCTCTGAAAAATATGAGTTCGTCAGTTGGGATGATGACATTCCCAATATATGTAAAAATAAAAGATGTTCCAAACCACCAACCAGAAAATATATAGAAAAGGGACACCCAACAAAAAAACATGGAACATATTATACGGTTCTATCTTGTTTTTTTTATGGGATGAGTTTCTATCTTGTTTTTGGATGGGATTACAATGGGGGCAACATAGTGATACAATGAAAGATGTAAATCAACATGTCACATGGATCAATGGATTGGTTTAGGAGGGCAATTTACAGAAAACCGTGGTGGTTACCGCCAATCCTCAGGGTGGACAGGTCCCAGTCAGCACTGCTTCTCCCACAGTTTGGTGTGTTGTAATGTGCCCAGTGATCACCTTCATTTGAGCTAATCCTAAACATGTGAAAGTTAATTGATAGATATAGATATAGAATGCCATGCCTTTTTTAAGGCCTAAAGATAACTCATCTGAATAAAACCACGAGCTAGTTTTGTCGGTTTACATCCCTGTCAGAGGGGTTTATTAACTACCAAACATGTGGATATATCATCAAAAATTGTTGGGACAAACCGCTGGCTTGGCCTCAATTGGCAGAACTACAATGATTCACCTTAGGGTGAGATTTGGGAGAGTCCTCTCTACCATCTAACACGGTAAAGAATCCCCAATTTCACTTGAAATTGGCAGTAAAATGTGGTAGCCGTCTCCAGTTGGAGATGACTGGGTTCACCATGGGTGGTGCTTTCTTAAAATGGGGCATCCCCAAGTCACCATGGGCTACTAATTCATGGTCCTTCATGACTTGGATGAATTTGGGGTACCCCCTATGTTAGGAAACCTCCACGTTACTAGAAAGAATTACGTAACCCCAACCATTGTGCAGCTCTGAAACTTACATGTCCCACCCAAAAGGCATCTATCTGCCAGCATGGCGCCAGAGCATCAGTCGATCGCTGCTGAAGGTAAGGGCATTCTGTTCATTCGCGGCTGCGAACGACACATCCGCCTGAAGTTCACCGGCTTGAAATGGAGGTCAGGCCGCAAAAAAATGTGGATTTCATCATCTTACTGGTGCTTAGTAGGGAATGAGGAAATGATCCATAATCACTAGCAATAATCATCCCAGCAACCCCCAGTCCCATCCATTCCCTGCGTTTAGCACCAGTACAGTAAGTAAAACAAGGATCCATTTCACCTGCAGTACTTTGGATATAACCAGCATCTGACCAGTAATGTGGATCTGCGAGACGAACATGGCCCGCCAAAATGACCACATCTTTATCGCAGTTCTTTGGATTCGTGGGGTTGCCCCGCCCCCAGTGATGTTGGTTGGTTTAGAACACCCATGACCTAGTTTGATATATCATATACCTGGACATTCCAAATCCTAGGAATTTCACAGAATTCTAGGACGTGACCTTTTTTTTTTCCGCAAAACGATGTCAAATTGATCAAAACTCCTTATTTGACTCAATTTCCTTGAAATTCATCCAAAACCAATGAGTTGTGGATATCGCAGGCTACAAGGTTTATGCATGATTTGGTTTTATTTTCAGTTTTTGACGTTCAAAAACGTCAAGAATTACCCGCAAAACTCCCGCAAAAAAGTGTCAAACTCCAGCAAAAAACGTCAAACTCCCGCAAATCCAGAAAAGTCATACAATCAAATTTTCGACAACCCACCTGATTACATCATTGACTGCAAACCATATATGACAAATGCAAGGTCACTGAAAAATTCGTTGCAACTCTCGGAATTCTGAACTACTAGAAAGCATGAAATGCTAGAAATTTTTCGGAAAAGGATGCTCCAGGTATCTACATATATCATCATATATCTACAATAAACCCAACAGTGAAATTGGAGTTATAATAATATGTTCACCAACTTCGCTATCATCAGCTATAATAATGTGGGTAAAACAATGCCATTATCATAAACCATCCCCCACGATAAATAGGTGGTATAAAGCATTCCCAGTCATGGGTGGTTTATTATTGTTTTACCCACATTGCATCCCATCGAAATCCATGAATTTTGGCTATATATTTCCGTTGGTGAGGCCCCCAACTCCTCGCACCCCGCACCCGCCTTGTGCCCTAGCAGGCTGATCAAGTGCTTGTGGCTCGTGACGTCGATCACTCGGACCTGGCCGTGGAAAAAACATGGAAAAACCAGCAGATGTTGATGACTTAGAACCTCATTGTTCATCATTTTTCCATACCCATAGACTGGGGTATATTGATGGGATCCATGTTGCCATATATAGCATACATGGATCTTATGGGATATGAAGCTACTGGTTGGTGGTATACCTACCCTTCTGAAAAATCATGGAGTTCGTCAGTTGGGATGATGACATTCCCAATATATGGAAAAATAAAATTCATGTTCCAAAGCACCAACCAGGCTAAGATCAATCCCACGAAATTCCCGTGAAATCACTAGCAGTTAGGGTACTCTGGGCGGTCCTTGTTGCTCACCGACAACAGCACTTCATTGGCGCGGGCGAAGCACAGGGCACCGCTGAAGGGACCCTCCTGCCAGACCTGCCGAAAAGGTCAATAGTTGAGAGCAGCCCCCGGTTTCTTTAACCCCATGACTGGGGTAAACCAAACAAAAACATAGATTTAATATGAGTTAATGATCATGAACCAACAATGACGAATGGATTTAACAAAGTTTGCATCCTGGATTTTGATGGTGTCATACAAAAAATTGCCAAATGCGTAGACACCCCTGCCATTTCTGCCAAGTTTCGCGCGCACGCGTGTGCCGCAGGAGATCGAAAACGTAAACACCTGTACGGCCAGGGGGCCACGAGCCAGCTAAGGTTACTATGGGATTCAAGTGATTTATGATGATTTAAAGTGATGAATCAACGTGATACAATGCCATCACCCAGCATGATATTAGGTGTGGCTGAAGATGAGATAACAAAAACTTGAAGATGAGGTAACAAGCACAGTAGAGCCCACAAATGGCCAATGAGGAATAATGATAATTAACCAATGGATGGAATGGGGTATCGATTACCCAATGTTCATAAAACATCAAAAACAATTTAGGGCATGGACTGCATAGAGTATCGAATTTAGGATGGTATGGCGCTCTTCAGACATCCAACAACAACGTTTCGGTCCTTTGTGGGCGCGCGCCGACATGCTAACTTTTTATTCAAATCGCCGACATGTAATGATCTCCTCCCACGATTTTGGCAATTTTTTTCTTTGGGCTCATCACGCAAGCTGGCTTCTTCATGGATGCACTCCGAGTTAACATTTTTCCCCACCTGCCAGGTGAGGGTTGTTAGATTTTATCAAAGCTGTTCTCCTCCTCCTCCTGCGCCTCCGCCTCCTCTGCCTCCACCTCCGCCTCCTCCGCCTCCTCACCCGCCGCCTCCTCCTCGCAGTCCAGATCACAGTGGGCACAGCCGGACCTCCACCACGAGCTCCAGATCCCAGTGGGCACTGCTGGATCTCCACCGCGACTTCCAGGTTGCAGTGGGCACTGCCGGACCTCAACCGCGACTTCCAGATCGCAGTGGGCACTACCGGACCTCAACCGCGACTTCCAGATCGCAGTGGGCACTGCCGGACCTCAACGGCCAGATAGAATGCCAGAAGATATGCCAGATGGAATGTCAGATAGAATGCCAGAAGATATGTCAGATAGAATGCCAGAAGATATGCCAGAGATATGCCAGATAGAATGCCAGAAGATATGTCAGATAGAATGCCAGAAGATATGCCAGATAGAATGCCAGAAGTTTGCCAGATAGAATGCCAGAAGATATGCCAGAAGATATGCCAGATAGAATGCCAGAAGATATGTCAGATAGAATGCCAGAAGATTTGCCAGTAAGAAAATGTATAAATGTCATGGTGGGGATCACACGAAGTAAAGTAATTGTTGTTTTTTCGACAACTTACTCATGCGAAAAGAAGATTTTACTACGTAACATCACGCGTGTGTCCAAGTGCCAGAGAAAATCTTACTGCGTAACATCACGCGTGTGTGCAAGTGCCAGAGAAGATCTTACTGCGTAACATCACGCGTGTGTGCAAGTGCCAGAGAAGATGTTACTAGGTAACATCACGCGTGTGTGCATGTGCCGGAGAAGATCTTACTGCGTAACATCACGCGTGTGTGAGTGTGCCCCCCCACCTCCCCCCATGTTTTTGTTTCGACCTAATACCTACATAGGTACATGCATGAGTATTGAGCACATTTATATGCGCCCTTCAAGGCTCAAGAGGTATATAGAGTAACCCTGTAGACAAGCACGGACCGGCAACAGGCTGAGTAAAACAAGTGCTGTCATTGGGGAAGACGCCTTAGCTGATCTTGAAGTAGACGCTAGGGCCCCTCTTCAAGTGGTAGCGGAGCAGTGATCCCTCATTGAGGGTGAGCTCCAGGTTGAGCCCAAGAAATGGCAAGCCATGGCTATGATGATGATGACTTCGACATTGTCGATGCAAATGAATGGAACCAATATGACTCTTATGCAATGAGAAGAGCACCCCAGCATACACAGATTCATATGACGCAACAGATGACCACAAAGGTTGCTCCAGCCTATGATGGGCGAACCAGCTTCTTTGCTTTTGAGGATGCAATTGATGACTGGTGTGACATTACGGAGTTAGAACCAGAGAAACGTGGTCCAGCATTGCGCAATAGACTGGAAGGAGATGCTCAACAATACAAGAGGCTATTGGATAGAGAATTACTCAGGGATCCCTATGAAGGAGTGACTTATTTCAAAAGATTTCTACGACCTCATTTCATCAAAGGTGCCCAGAACGTGTTCTTATACCGTTTCATGCAGTTCATGAAGTTCAACAGAGGAACTATGGATCTTCAGAAGTGGATGACTAGATTTCAACTCACTGGCAATAGACTTATTGAGTCTTGGATGGATTTACTTCCAGAAGTAACAGTGACTAGTCCTGAAGCAATCCTGTTTGTTCAACAACGACGTCAAGAACATGAAAGAGATCAACAAGAGAGAGCTGAAGTAGCAGCAGCCTCAGGAACACCCCATGTAGCTGTTCCTTGGACAGATGAACTGGCACTAGCGGCATTCAGACTATTTCAGGAAAATCGTAGAGATGCACAACGACAAGCATTCCCACTGGGTGAAAATTTGCTAGCATTGATTTTTGTAAGTCTAGCTGACCTGAGTCAAGATCAGAGAAACACACTCACAAGTATCATGACACATCGTGGACGAACCCTCGATCGATACAGTATTCAAGAACTACGTGACCTGTTTTTGGAAATGTTTTGCACTACCAAAACAGCAGTTGACAATCCATTGATGCAACCCTCTGGCATGGCACAGAGAAGATCTTTCCTCGTACTGGATGAAGGTGAATTAGAAGGAACCGACGGCTATTGGGCCGAAGATGAAGAAGACGGCGCAGAAGGATTCCTGGATGCTTTAGAAGATGTTTTCTGGGTTTATGATGACGCCAACTTCACATGGTATCAGAGAAGGTTCCAAGGCAAATACATCAGACGAGGCAAAGGTAAAGGAAAGAGAAAAGGAAAAGGAAAAGGCAGAGGAGGACGAAGGTTCTTCAAATCAAGAAAAGGAAAAGGCCGAGGAAAAGGAAGAAGGAAAGGCCGCTCTCACATGGTGAGTGAAGAAGGTTATGAAGATGAATGGCAAGAAGATGAATGGAATGAAAATTATGACGGCTATTGGGCCGATGATCAAACCTGGAATGAAGGCTATTGGGCCTATGATGATCTGTACTACATGGATGAGTATGGATACTTCCAGAAGAAAGGAAAAGGAAAAGGAAAAGGAAAGAAAGGCAAGAAAGGCAAGGATGATGATGGAAAAGGAGGAAAGCCAGGAGATGGAAAAGGCAAGTCGAACTATGTTCAACCTCAGACCACATCAGCTCCTGCCATACAGAATCAACAAACTCAACAAGCTCATTATTCTTCTGCAGCTTCAAGTTCTGGTCATGGTTTCTTTTCATTTGGAACAACTGAACCAGCACGTGTTGATGTTGCAGAGACAGAGCCAGCACGTGTTGATGTTTTGACATCCACGTATGCAGCACAAGATGAACAACGACGCACTCGTCGTGGAGGACAGAACCAACGTGATGCAAGAGCACATCAAAACAGGAGAGAAATGAAGAGATTCCCTGTTCTGGTTGGAGAAGTTGATGCACTACGACAAGGTGTACAACAACGTCCAGCTGTAGTGCCCAGGCAAGTTGGTCTTCAAGAAGGTGAGGCTTCATGGAAGCCATTGGCAGAAGGCACATCATTGTTTTCATATGGATGCTCTACAGAGATAGAGGAACCATCACAGCAGAGTGCTTTTTCATTTCATACTGTACAAACTGATCTGGCATGTGAGAATGGACTAGCTTTTCACACAGAGAATTCTGCACCACCAACTGTGTGTATTCTGGATCTTGGATGCACAAGAGCTATGGGCTCTCGACGAGCAGTTGAAGCATTTTGCAGATATGTTGACTCACATCCCAACAGTGGACTCTGGTATGAAATTCAGCCAACAAGTTCAAGATTCTTCTTTGCGAACTCACAACAATCAAAATGTACTGAGAAGCTCGTGATATTCATGTATGATCATGGATGGAACACTCAGTTCACAGAATTCGACATTGTCGAAGAAGGTGATGTCCCATTGTTGATGTCACTTCCACAGATGAGAAACCTTGGATTTCAATTTGAACTTACTCCAGAGAAGGCTTATTTGTCCTGTGCACGTATTGGCATGAGAAAAAATGGTTTTGAGGACAGCCATTAGTACTCATCTCATTCTCGACCTACAAGATGTAGCATGGTACATGAGCCAAGTTCATTTCAAGACTCCACAAGTCAAAAGTTTCTATTCACAACACGATCACTTTGAGTACAGTCAGATTGCTGTCAAACAAGATGATCATGAAGGAGAAGCTTTGGTGACTGGTGATTACTGGCAGGTTGATCCACTACGTCGTGAACTCATCAGGCACCACAAGGACAAGAGAATGAACTTACATGAGATGACTCGATCAGAGAAAACTCCAATTCCAAAAGATCAACTTCTTGATGAGAGAGAAACCCACATGGAATTCCAGAAGAGCAAAAAGAAGGTTCTTCACAAGGACAACTGGCGCACTGAGAAGAAGAGGTTTTCTGAACAGAGTGAAGAGTTCTGGAAGGGCAAGACCATCTATAAGATCAAGGAGGACTACGTGATCCCAGATGACATTGTCAGAAGTGACATTGATCGTGCAAAGCCCTTTCGTGGAAACATTGATGATCTTTTTCACCCTGAGTCAGCCTCTTCAGTGCCATCAGGTGTACAGAAGAAGCCAAGCTCCTTAAAGAAGGAGGAAGGCAAACCGATTTCAAATGGACCAGGCTCGAAAAAGATTGAGGTAGGTCCACCTGCAGCCAAAAGACACGTAGGTAAGCAGAAACCTCAGGGTGTCGATGACTCTCAATCAGGTTCATCAAGAAAGAAGGTTGTTGTCTCCTATCCCAAGCTTGATGAAGAAGATGAGCTTGACAA